GTTTTTTAAGGGCAGGACAGCTGTCAGCAACACATCCGTTGTGGTCCGCAGCTGCACGGATGGCAGCAGATTGTGTAGGTCGGCAACGGAGCTCTGGATTATGCGGCCGCTCCGGTCGCCATCTTGGACACACCCCCCCTAAAAAACTATTTTTGACCCATTGAAAAAATTTTTTGAAATGTAATATATTGTTTAAAAGAAGTCTAGATATTTGGGAAAGCAAATTTCAATGTGAACGTCTCTGCAGTGATTTTTCATTCTGTTAGATGTGCTTCTAGGACGTCTGCTGTTTTAAACTGATTCCTGGAATGTGCCTAGTTAGTAATTCGCTTTTGAGTATACTTGTTAGACTCTTTCTTTAGTAAATGTCTTTGCCATCTAAAAGTAGACGGACTCTAATGAAAAGTAGACTTTATCCCACGGAAATGTGTCTAGGCACATTAGTAAATCAGGGCCTGTAGGTCAACCCAGTTAGTGTTACCAGAGTTGTATCTATACAGGTCATGGACAGGATTCCTACATTACCTGTTGACTCTAGATGGTATTTCAGTTCAGAATGTTTTGCTGAAGACTATAGAAGTTGGTAGAAGTGATTATGTCTATTGATCCATTGTTTACTATTTGGGACACTATACCAAAGTGAATTACCTAAACCAGAATAATTATATGTTACTTTTCTGTTGGTTAAAGTAAGGAAAAATGTAATTGCATTTGTACTGCAGATATTGTAGGTCAGGCAGAAACAGTTTTAGGTGAAGGAACTAGATGTTACAAAGAGACAGAGTCGGCCGATAAAAGTACAGAGCAGTAGATGGCAACGTTATGCTGCATTGTTGATGTACAATGGGCATTCCACCATTATGATATAAAAAATGTAAAAAAAATGTATAAAAGTAATAAAATGTTCCCTAGTTTCTCGTCACCTTTGTCTAAACTTAGTAACCAATACATATATGTATAGAAAGGGGTTTTATTAAATAGTTGGTGACACACAACTACAGTATATCTTGCCAGGTAATATAGCGCTGTGGGCCTGGTGGGAAGCTGTGATGTAATAGGGAGTAGATGTCACAGGGAGGAGGTTTCCTCAAGTAACTTGGTTACTACCTACCCTTGGCTTCCTATGGTTACTACGAGACAAGTAGGAGAATGTTTTTTTTTTTTTTCCATAAAGTTTATTAAGAAACTCAGAGCATACAAATTGTACAGATGTATACAATGTGCCAATGAAAAATACAGTAGAAAATAATTAACAGGTATCCGACAATAAGAGATACTACAGTACACAATCTGAAAAACGATCTCGTGTACGAATTGTAAATAAAGGTTAAATAAAAAAAGGACATGAGATCACAGCAACAATAAAGGCACATCCTACCCCTAGCCCTAATTCAGCATACAATTTCACAAGACTGGCAGGGTCATTTGTTTGCGTCCTCATTTATCATGCATCATAAAGTAGCAGGATAAGGGAGCCGGGGGTAGGAGTTGGGAGTATAGGCAACTGGTATGGGAGAGGGGGTGTGAGGATATACAGGATACAGCACTGCACAGTCGGTAAGGCAGAGGTAGCCCAAATAAGGTTACCAATGTGTGGGAAGATGTCTTTGTGAAATGAAAAAAGCATGTGTGCTTATGAAATGCAAATTGGAATTAGGGCGCCTATGGGTAGGGAAGTGAGCGAAATATAAGAAAAGAGAAGGAAAGCAAGACACTGAAAATAAATAAGAGGAAATGAGTGGTATAGGGAATGAAGAAAAGAAGGAGTCAAAGAAGATGAAAAAGAAAAGGGGATGTAGGACCAATAAGGAGGGAAGGAAGGGGAAGAGAAAAAAAAAAAAGGGCGGGGGAGAGGGGAGGATCAGAAGGGGAGGAATCGGGGGGTGAGTGGATAGGCATATTACTTGCACTAAAGCTCCAAGGACATGAGTAATGTGCTCAGCCCTAGCGGGCAAGTAACCATGACTCAATCCAATGAATGTCAGGACACAGGGCATATCTCGCTCTGACCGGTGTAGAGAGTAGGAAAGAAAGTTATTACCAACAGCCTTGAAAAGGACAATGAGTTGGTACGATGTAGGAAACAATCTGGGATTACAGATTCAGTTCGAAGTCAAGTAGAAAGGCCCATGAGGGAGTGGTATTCAGGGGTCGTTCGGAAGTGAGTCCAGCAAGACAGAGTGTGGGAAAATTTAGTTGGGTTGTCCTGGGAGGAAGCAATCAGCTCCTCCATCTCCGCGATTCTTCCAAAACCAACCTTCCAAAACCTGTGAGCCAACCTCGTATTGAAGGGGGTGAATAGATCCGCCAAAAAACGGTAGACAAAGTTTAGCCGCGTTGAGCATATGCATGGCTAATGATTTGAAGTATAAACGTTTGGGAAGCGGGGTGTGGTGGAGGAGAAATTGGGCCGGGGAGAACTCAATAGATACGGTAGACATCAACGAGGTTATACAGTGTACCTCCTGCCAGAAGGCCTGAACAATAGGGCAAGACCACCAAATATGAAGAAGGGACCCTACAGGTGCTCCACATCTCCAACAATTGCTGGGTCTGGATGGATTAAAAATGATTAATTCTGGAAGGGGTGATATACCAGCGTGTCGCAAATTTGTAACCATTTTCTTGTGTTGATACATTTAGTGAGCACTTATGAGAGTAAGTAACAATGTAGGCCCAATCGGAGGAAAAATAAATAATCTAAATCTCTTCTCCAAGCTCGGCAAGCAGGGAGCGAGTCAGGAGTCCCTTTGCCAACAAGAAGGAGATAAGTTAATGAAATTAGGTGTCTCTGTGGTTCAGCCTTAGAGCAGATTAATTCAAACAAGGCGAGAGCGTGGGTCCATTTGTGACGGTACACAGGAGACAGAAGGAAATGCCTAATTTGAAGGTAAGCCCAAAAGGGGAAGGTATGGTCTCTCATAGTGCTCGCCAGAGAAGAGCAGGATTTCAGCTGACCTTTGTGAAAAAAATGTTCTGCTTTCACCTGAATGTGTGGCCAATGTTCTGATGGAAAGGTCTTGTGCATGCCTGGAGGAAAGTCCAGGTTGAGGCGAAGAGGGGCTAGCGGGTTAGGGAAATCTGAGATGGAGGCCGACTTACAGGGTAAACGGAAGGTTTTAAGGGTAGGTCCAATCAGTGGATGAAGGAGGAGGTCCTGAGGATTGTGTTTAGTCGGCAGCCACGGTATCAATGCTAGAGGGGGAGAGGAGAAGGAATGTTCTAGTTGCACCCACGCTTTGGTGGTGGAGTGAATATTCCAGTCTATGATTCTGGAAAGATGGCAGGCCTGGTGATATAGTTGTAGATCTGGTAGTCCAATCCCTCTTTTGGATTTGGGGAGCACTAGTTGGGAGAGAGATATGCGTGGGCGCTTGTGGTTCCAGAGAAAAAGTGAACACAGTCTTCTACACGAAATGAAAAAGGCGGGAGGTAAATGGATAGGTAAGGTTTGAAATAGATAGAGGAGGCGTGGGAGAATGTTCATTTTTAGTATAGCAGCCCTTCCAAACCAGGAAAAGCATGGGCACTTAGTTAGGTCTTCTCGGATGGATCTAAGAGCTGGAATAAAGTTTTTGGTGTAAAGATCAGGAAGGTTACGCGTAAGCTGAATTCCCAGATATGTGAGGGAGTCCCTTTCCCATCGAAACGGGAACTGTAACTGGCAAAATGATATTAAGTCCGAAGGAAGAGTAGTGTTTAGGGCATATGACTTGGAATGGTTAATTTTAAGATTCAAGATAAATTGAAAGAGTGAGAAATCTTTAAGCAGATTGGGCAGGGTGATCCGAGGATCCGCCAGAAACAGTAAAATATTGTCGGCATTAGCAGCAAGTTTGTACTCCTTATCCACAGCGGTAATACCCCTGATATCTGGGTTCAAGCGGAGTTTGCGTAGCAATGGCTCTAATGAAATTATAAAGAAGAGTGGGAGAGAGAGGGCAGCCATGGCGCGTGCCATTCCCGAGAGAGAAGTGATGCGATAAATGCCCATTCACCCAAACCTGTGCTGTTGGACCAGAGTATAGTGCCATGATGAAATTGAGCATATTGTCCCTTAGTCCAATCGCCTGCAGGGATGCCTTCTAGTAATCCCAGGCCACTCTATCAAAGGCCTTCTCGGCGTCTAAGGAGAGAAAGAACCCGGGACTCTGCGAGTAGTGGAGCCGGTGGAGAAGATTAAGGGCCTTGATGGTGTTGTCCCTTGCTTCCCTGCCCGGGATGAAACCCACTTGGTCAAGGTCAATCAAAGAGGGTAGTAAGGGTAGGAGACGATTGGCTAAAATTTTTGCGTATATTTTGATGTCTACATTCAAAAGAGAGATGGGCCTGTAATTGGTAACCAATGTCACGTCTTTACCTTCTTTGGGAATGACCATGATATGGGCTTCCAAAAGGCGATGGTGTTGCATAGGGGATGAAGAGAAGGTGTTGAAGGCTGAGAGGAAGGGCCCACTCAGAATGTCTAGAAACTCCTTGTAATATGCTACTGAAAGGACATCAGGGCCCGACTTTTACCAGGTTTTATTTGGTTGATGGCCCGGCAGAGCTCATCTGCCGTGATGTGTTGTTCCAATTCCTGAGCAGTGTCTTCGGATATTGCCGAAGGGCTATAGAGATGAAGAAAATCAGAAATCAAAGTGGTTCTGGGTTTGTTGACATCAGATGGGCAGTGTTCCGGGGGGAGATTTGAGATGTTTTATAATATTGCTCAAAGTGGGAAGCTATGTCCGCATTAGAAGTGGCAAAAGATCCGTCCGAGCCCCTAATCTTATGGACCATTAAGCTCAACTTTTTCGCCTGGAGGGATCTGGCTAAGAATCTCCTGCTTTTGTTTGCAAACTCATAAAAAAGTTTTTGAGACAAGATGATCTACGTTTAGCTGCCTTACCTAATTCTGTCAAAGCCTGGGATCAAACCTGGTCCTTCTGCAGTGAAAGGCAATGTCTCTTCTCACTGAGCTATCTGGAATGCTAGACAGCTCCCTTGACAATTCTTGGATAAACCTGCCTTGTGCCTTGATTTCTCTTGAACCTTGAACTCCTTGCTCCTCCCATGAACTTCCTTATAAAAGCCATGTCCATGCACTTCCTACTTGCCAGATTATTGTGCCTTTCCAGCCAATATCCCGCTACTGGTCCTGCTGCCATCTACACCTCCGCTACCGACCTTTGGCGTGTTCTTGACCACAATTTCATCTCATCCTAACCTACTACGATTGATCTGCTACCATTTGTGACCGACCCTTGGCTTGTGACTGACTCTACTTCTGTTTGGAATCTCAGGTGCGAGCGTTTCCCGGATGGACCGGACAGGACTGCCGAAAGTGCCCACCAAGGCCACAGTACAGGCAGCGACCCTCCCGACCCCGAGCGACCCACTTCACCTCGGAAAGGCAAGCAAACCCCACCTGCATGGGCTCACCGCCAGACAAGCCATCCCCAGGAGGCGTGGGAGGAGAGGGAGGAACGGGTGGGACAGAAAACGCAGGCGCCAATCAGTTGGGAGGCCTCCGCAGGCGCTCCTTGAGTGAAGAAATCTCCCTGAGCCTGGTGTCAATCAGGATTAGGAAGTAAATGAGTGCTCCAGCTCCACAAGCAGTTCCTTGGCTGCAATCTCGTCCTTCAACGCATCTGAAAGGCCATGAAAAAAAGCAGCCACCAGAGCCTCATTGTTCCAGCCCACCTCTGCCGCCAGGGTACAAAACTCTATGACGTACTCTGGCAACAGTTTGTGAACCCTGATGCATGGACATGAGCAGCTTGGCTGCCGAGGCGGAGCGAGCCGGCACATCGAATACCCTACGGAAGGCGTCGACAAAACCGGAAAACTCGTGAGTCACCGGGTTATTGTTCTCCCATAAGGAATTTGCCCAGGCCAATGCCTTGTCTGAGAGCAGCGAGATTAGGAAGCCCACCTTTGACCTCTCAGTAGGAAAAGCGTGGGGTATTAACTCGACAGGCGTCGACAAAACCGGAAGGAGCGGCGCGGCCATCTTTGATGTTAGATTTCAGTTGTGTGAAACTGTTGGAAAGGATGGACGCTTTTCTCTACTTGATGTAAGCAGCAATAAATTTGTTATATTACCTTTATACTCCACTGAGTCTTGTCTTCTCTGCCCTATGAGGAGCGGGGAAGATTGCATTGGGCATATCAGCAAGGGGAAAGCTGCAATTTACCCTGGAGTGTTTGAGACGCCTTTTTAAAACTGAAAGAGGGTAATAGTATTTAATCCTGCTAGAGTGGTGGCACCTTTTTTGGATTGTAGCACATGATCACAAGTTAAGTTATTTGCTGTGAATTTTACCTCATGAGTGGGGTGGGTGTTTAGGTGGATTCACCTTATTTATATCATATCGTATATTTCATAGTTTGTATTTATATTTATTTGAGACTCACTAAGTGCTGTGGGATCAATTTTATTTAATATATAAAATATACTTTAAAAAAAATTTTAATTTTTTTTTTTCTCTTCACGAGTGTTTTTTTTGCATGGTATCACATATTATTGTATTTTAAAATGATAATGCACTATATTTTTTGAGGTATCTTGGATTTGAAGTGACGAATTGGACATTTTACAACGTTTGGAAGATTGAACTGTGTGGACATTTGGTGGACTATTTTGCACTTTATTTGGGATATTTTGAAGTAAAGGAGGGGATTGGGGTTTGGTTGAAGGTTTGAAGAAAAGGTTTTTATATTCTGTAATGTCAGGGCAGGAGCGGTGGAATGGGCAGGCAGGCCTAACGGTAAGGTCACGCAGTGACTGACGACAGCCGCCACTCATAGCCCAGAGTCCCTCAGAGTGCAGAGTCTAAGCCCCAGGCTGCCCTTCACCAGGGCCACTGATGGTGGGGATGGACTTGACGCAGCCTGTGACCAGGTCGCGGCTCTCCCGAGTAACCCCAGCTGCGGTAACGACTGCCGCCAATGGCGTACAGCTGGTGGGAGCCAGATGGAAAATGTATAGCGTGGTCAGACAGGCCAGATCGATAACAACGGAGCAAACAGTACAAGACAGTAGACAGGAATACTCAGGTCACGGGCCGGGTTCAGCAACGAGAGGTCAGGTAATGGGATAAAGCAGAGAATAGTCTTGTCCAAGCTGAGTCGGTTACCAGGAGAGCAACAAGAACAGAACAAGAGCTTGCTGCAAGGGAACATACAGGACACAAATGCAAAGAGCAACTGCAGACAGCAGGCTTAAATGTGTTCAGCCACACCCTTCTGGAGAAGGAGCCACAGAGGCCTGAAAGCATAAAAGGCTCCCACATGCTTTGCAGAAACCTAAGATGGATGCCAGCACAAGGAGCAACCATAACCTCTGGGGAAAGGTAGGAACTTGACAGGGATGGTATGAGGAGAGGGAACCCAGAAGGAACCCTACACATAGCATCGAAATCAGCATATCGTAAACATGGAGTGGGGTGAGTGAGGGTGTAGGGTAAGAGGAAAGAGACCAAACCCCGCAGGGAACCGCATCTGGAGAACCTACCGTGGTGATGCTCAACCCCAGGTATGCATTAACATGAAATGAAAATGGTATTAATATACATTCAATGCTCCCGAATTCCCCCACCCACCCCCCCCCCCCCCCCCGCCTCCCCTCCCAATCACCACCCGCCACCCCACCACAACCCCTGGATGAGATGTAAAGGGATAATTGATAGTAGGAGCTTCTCATTAAGTCGATCAGCAGGGATCAGAATCAGGTGAGTGAAAATGGTGTGCGAGGGAGGGTATGGAATCCAACTCCTAGTGACTTCAAGACCACCAGAAGTCGCATGAGAAGGCTCGTGATCAGGTAGGTGTGTAGGGTACAGTAGGTCTGGAGACCATCAATCACCAGAGACTCTAGATAACGGACTTTCCGGCAGGATTAGTAGGAGAGGGGCTAAGCGGTATCTTGGTTACCTTCCCCTCTAGCCTTGATCTGAGGTAACACTGATCATGTAGTGAGAAGGCAAGCGGGAGGGGGGAGGTGTGTGGAAATATTTCATGTTCTGCAGTCCACAGAGAAAACTGAGGCGGGGAATACAAGACCTTCTTGGCCCCAAAAACATATGAGGTGTCACATGCAGGGGCACTAGGAGATCCAGGCCAGAGCAGCTGGAGTGGTTATCCCAAGATAAAAGGGTTAAAGGCTCTCCAATGGTAGGGCCAAAAGAGACCCAAGGTGCTACAGGCATAGTCCCGAGGGCTAGGTGGAAAGGTCCTCAGGAAATAGTACACTGGGGAGAGCACTTTGGATGCAAAGAAATCAGGAAAGAAATTAGAGAAAGGCCCCTAAGCATCATGACGGGGTCTGCGGTGCGCGAGGAGAGGCCGTCGGGCTGTTGTTGGTGGCAGAGCAGAGCCTCTAGCTGGAAGTGTCAGGGCCTGGACTTGAACCTGGGACTTCTATTGTGTCAGGCAGTAACTCTTCTCACTGAGCTACCTAGGATACTGGACAACACTCTGCCTCATCTATTGGATAATCCTGCCTTGTGCCTTGTTTGCTCTTGAACCTTGAACTCCTTGCTCCTCCCATGAACTTCCTATATAAGCCATGTCCTTGGACTTCCTCCTTGCCTGCTGCTGTCTACACCTCCGCTACTGACCTTGGCTTGTTCCTGACCACGAATTTTGTCGCATCCTAAACGTACTACGATTGATCTACTACCATTTGTGACCGGACCCTTGGCTTGTGACTGACTCTGCTTTCGTCTGATCCCTAACCTGTTGATCCGCTATTGATTCCCGGCTTGCTCATTCCCGGGTGGGGTGATCCTGAGATCTGCGACCTGGTATTAACACGCAGCCTAATCCATCTCCACCATTAGGAGCTCTGGTGAATACCGGTTAATACTTAGACCCCGCACCTCAGGTGAGCCTGCGTCATTCCCAGGGGGATCCGCTGGTGTACCTATCCTGCTGGTTTGAGGTAAGCCTTTTACTGCTATAGCAACTGGTCTCTGAACCTGACCCAGACCATGACAGGAAGTCTCGGAGGAGTTGAGGGAACAGAACGGCGGTGGCGGAGGAGAGGGCACCTTGCCAGTCCATTTCACTTGGTACCAGTCCAGATTCTAAAGCACTTGGGAGACACAGAGATCTGTGCCAATCTGGAAGGTCAATCAGCACGGAATATCCAGGAAAGAACAGAAGTTGGGGAGATCTTCTGGAACTCGCAGGTAAGCTGTGCGCCCATGTGTGCTTGAGCGGAAGAAAGACAAAATGGGAATCGCCACCTGTATGGTATGTTATGAGAGCGGAGTGTGTCCAGTAGGGGGCGAAGTTCCCACATTTGTTGCAGGGTCATGGAGGAGAGATCCTGGGACAGGTTTATTTTCATTACCCTGATATAAAAAAGCGTTGTCTTTCTCTGGCCCTCCTGAGAATGTCTTCCTTAATTGGAAATCTGATCTAAACAAACAACACACCACATCTCTTGGGGGGGGTCAGAGTCTCTGCCCCTGGAGCAGGGGTGGACTGACAACTCATGGGGCCCCCGGGCAGTAGAGGATCATGGGGCCCCTGTGTCCTTGCCCACACTCAAACAAAGCCTATAAAAAGGTACCAGGGGCATATCATGGGGCCCCCTACTGACCCCGGGCCCTCGGGCAGTGCCCGAGTTTCCAAATGGTCAGTCCTCCCCTGGTTGTGCCTATTATTCCTCATACCAGGTCTTTGTTTTCTATAATGGTTACATACTTATGGACCTTCCCCAGTCCAATGTTGTTCACTTAAAGCTGCCAGTTCATTCAAAATATTTTTTTTACTATACCCTAAAACTTTGGTTCAGCCCTCCACAACAGTCCTAGTTTCTCATGTGCCGAATGCTCAATGGTCAGTCCACCCCTGCCCCTGGAGCGAAGGGATCTGTGTGCACGTTCCAATTCAATAGGTGCAGCAGGTGGGCGACCAAGCAGGTCATTGAAGATCGCCACTACTGTTTTTAGGGATGTCGCTCGGTTCTACAGATTCTGGCAAACCACGTAATCTGTTATGTCTGCGACTATGTTTGTCTAAATCTTCAATCTGTTTGTAGAAATCACAGATATGTGATGTGTGTGAGGCTGACAACTGCTGTATCTCCACTATGGCTTCTGCATTATTTCTGTTGGTAAATTCTACCCCCTCCAACCTTGTACCTAATGAATGTAGGCCTTCCATTAGGTCACTGAGGGCTGTGGTAAAAAGTGGCTTTAATGTCTGCAGCCACTGCCAGATCTCTTAAAGATGGTGTATGGGAGTCCGAGGAGAGATCGTGCTGTGGGACAGTGTCCGTGCCAGCCCTAGGGTCAGTGATCTGTGGACTCTGAGCACATGCTGCTGCCATGGAGGTAGAAGGGGATGCTGCGTGAGGCCCTATCCCTCTGCTGGCAGCGGAACAGCTCCTGTATGTGCCGGGATTGCCAGGGGTTATGTGCACGCGGGGAGCGTGAACGGGAGCCAGGAGCATTCCGGTCGCCGCTCTCCCCCATGGTCATGTGACCCTGTCTCCCCCGCTCCTCCGGTCTGAACGATGCAAGGTCTCCGGCCGGCGGGAGCTCCAGGACTACGTGGCCATGCTGGATCACGGCAGACCTGTTTTCTTAATAAGATTCTGCGTATGTCAGGGACAACATAACAATTTTGTGGTGGAGAGTGTAAGAGGTGTAGAAAATAGGCAGCCCCATAAAAATTAAAATCCAAAGCCTAATACCTAATATAACAGAAATCTATCTTTGTCAATAGAAGACACTAGTGATTGCATTTTTATTGTATCACCACAAGAGGGCAGAAAACTACATCCTGTTTATAATAGGAGGACACAGGAGGGGGGATCTGAAAGTCTAACACTTTGTTTCCGGCAGGACTGTGATTACAGTGAACATCCGGTCTCATGCCATTAAAGAGTTTTCTGTGTGTATTACAGGTAAGCAGGAGGCTGTTTAACATGATAAATAGGACAAAATGACTTAACATGCCCTGGTGGTCAGTAAATGCCGCTGTTACTACTATAATGCAATCAGACTACTCGTAGCACAAATGTGAATATATATTGCAGGTATGTGATTTGGCGCTAAGATACAGGAAATGTGATTTCTCTATTGTAATACGCTGTTGTTATGCAGAATAGGTTTCTAGCATATCTGCAGAGGTCTAGATATTCAGTATTGCGATTAAAGATTTTTAAACAATGCATATGAAAATACTTATTAATGTACCATATTTGCCGGCGTATAAGACGACCCCCTACTTTTCCTGCTAAAATGTAGTGTTTGGGCTTATACTCGCTGTATAAGACTACCCCTCTTCCAATGCACACCAGTGGGAGGAATAGTGCCCCATCATTGGTGTCAGTGGGAGGAAATAGTGCCCCATCACTGGTGTCAGTGGGAGGAATAGTGCCCCATCACTGGTGTCAGTGGGAGGAATAGTGTCCCATCATTGGTGTCAGTGGGAGGAATAGTGCCCCATCATTGGTGTCAGTGGGAGGAGTAGTGTCCCATCATTGGTGTCAGTGGGAGGAATAGTGTCCCATCATTGGTGTCAGTGGGAGGAGTAGTGTCCCATCATTGGTGTCAGTGGGAGGAATAGTGTCCCATCATTGGTGTCAGTGGGAGGAGTAGTGTCCCATCATTGGTGTCAGTGGGAGGAGTAGTGTCCCATCATTGGTGTCAGTGGAGGAGTAGTGCCCCATCATCGGTGTCAGTGGGAGGAATAGTGCCCCATCATCGGTGTCAGTGGGAGGAATAGTGCCCCATCATTAGTATCAGTGGGGGGAATAGTGCCCCATCATTGGTGTCAGTGGGAGGAATAGTGCCCCATCATTGGTGTCAGTGGGAGGAATAGTGCCCCATCATTGGTATCAGTGGGAGGAATAGTGCCCCATCATTGGTGTCAGTGGGAGGAATAGTGCCCCATCATTGGTGTCAGTGGGAGGAATAGTGCCCCATCATTGGTGTCAGTGGGAGGAATAGTGCCCCATCATTGGTGTCAGTGGGGAGGAATAGTGCCCCCATCATTGGTGTCAGTGGGAGGAATAGTGCCCCATCATTAGTGTCAGTGGGAGGAGTAGTGTCCCATCATTGGTGTCAGTGGGAGGAATAGTGTCCCATCATTGGTGTCAGTGGGAGGAGTAGTGTCCCATCATTGGTGTCAGTGGGAGGAATAGTGTCCCATCATTGGTGTCAGTGGGAGGAGTAGTGTCCCATCATTGGTGTCAGTGGGAGGAGTAGTGCCCCATCATTGGTGTCAGTGGGAGGAGTAGTGCCCCATCATCGTGTCAGTGGGAGGAATAGTGCCCCATCATCGGTGTCAGTGGAGGAATAGTGCCCCATCATTAGTATCAGTGGGGGGAATAGTGCCCCATCATTGGTGTCAGTGGGGGGGAAGAATAGTGTCCCAACATTGGTGTCAGTGGGGGGTGGAATAGTGCCCCCATCGTTGGTGTCAGTGGGGGGGGGGGAATAGTGCCCCATCGTTGGTGTCAGTGGGGGGGGGGGAATAGTGCCCCATCGTTGATGTCAGTGGGGGGGGAATAGTGCCCCATCGTTGGGGTCAGTGGGGGGGGGAGGAATAGTGCCCCATCGTTGGTGTCAGTGGGAGGAATAGTGCTCCATCATTGGTATCAGTGACACCAATGATGGGGCACTATTCCTCCCACTGACACCAATTACACTTGCTGACCCTGTTCTAGTATGGTGCTGCTGCAGCCAGCATATGTGGTTGCAGCAGCACCTCTACACTGAACACTTACCTGCTGCTCCTGCACTCGATTTTCGTGGGGCCGCTCGGCTCCGCCCCATCACCGGTGATTGGCCGCCTGTGTGCCTTTCCTGAGCTACAGTTCTGGCGGCCAATCACCGGTGAGGAGGCGGAGCTGAGCAGCCGCGCGAACATCCAGTGGCCGAACTGAAGGAGCAGCCACGCTTCCTGGACCGGATCGTTGTGGGACCGGAGCCAGGTAAGAAACAGCCCCTGTACACCCCTGTATTTATGGCCACTGTAACAATCTGAGGAGCACTGAGGAAGCAGTGCATACCGTGTGCGCACATCCTCAGTATTGCTTTTGGAATATGCAACAGTGGATAGTTTTTTTTTTTCTTTTGGAAGCATTATGGCTCAGTGAGGTCGCTCTCCCCAATATGGGTGAGTGAGGTCGCTCGCCCAGTATGGCTCAGTGAGGTCGCTCGCCCATATATGGCTCAGTGAGGTCGCTCGCCCAGTATGGCTCAGTGAGGTCGCTCGCCCAGTATGGCTCAGTGAGGTCGCTCGCCCAGTATGGCTCAGTGAGGTCTCTCGCCCAGTATGGCTCAGTGAGGTCGCTCGCCCAGTCGGTGATGGTCGCTCAGTGAGGTCGCTCGCCCAGTATGGTCGCTCAGGGTGTGAGGTCGCTCGCCCAGTATGGCTCAGTGAGGTCGCTCGCCCAGTATGGCTCAGTGAGGTCGCTCGCCCAGTACGGCTCAGTGAGGTCGCTCGCCCAGTACGGCTCAGTGAGGTCGCTCTCCCAATGTATTTTTTTGTAGCAGCCAATGCAATTAAAATACTCCAACCCACATTATAGTAAGTATTTGGGACCTAAATCATAACATGACCGACTGTCAAACATCCCAACTCTCTCCACATCTGCGGTCCTCCCAAAGTCTGACCCTCCCCTCTTCCCCGAATATTACCAGCCTTATGGCACAAGCATACATCTGCTATCTCTACAGTCAGTGACCTGACAAGCATGCAGCCCAATTCAGGGACTCGCCAGCAACAGGTGGTCAGTGGCATTTTAACCCCCACCCTCTATCATTGGTGGCCAATGGCATTTTAAACCT